CCTGCAGCACCGTTCCAGTGGGGCGAGGGGGAGGCTGCGCTGCCGAGGCCCCTTCCTCCCCTCCCTGTCCGGCTTCCCATTTCTTGTCCCAGGAGTCCTGTGAACCACCTCTGAGTAGGACTGATGGGGAGAACAAAGGAGAGACTAACTGGCTCAGAGTGGTACTCAAACCTAATGTATATCAAGGTCCCCAGAGGGCTCATCAAAGCACCCTTGGCTCCTCCAATCCCCCAGCTTCTGATTTCACTCGGTCTGGGTGGGGCCTGAGAATTTTCATTTCAACAAGTTCCCAGGTGAGGCTGCTGCTGCTGCTGCTCTGGGGGTCACACTTTGAGAACCACTGGCTTAGAGGCTCAGGTCCAACTCCAGAAAAAAGTCAGTTCTGGGGTAACAGTCTGTGGCATCCTCTGAAATACCTCAGAATCCTAGCACCGTCCTTTGCCCGCCCCAAGCCCAGTGACCATCACATCACCCATGTGTGCCTTTCTCTACAGGGTGGGCAACTATAGAAAAAGGAAAGTGGGTACAGAGCTTTTTCACCCCATCTGACTACTGGGCAGTGAAACCACAGTTTGTTAGCACCAAACCCATTATACGTGCTGTACGCTGGCTCCAATGACTGGCACCTGGGAGGGGCTATGCGGCAACATCCTTTTGTGTGTGTGCAGTGGGCAGGGAAGGAGGCTGGTGAACTACAGAAGCAAAAGGCCAAGCCTGTGACCTTCAGAGAAAAGAAGGAATCAGCTGAGGAAGGTCCCTGGGAGTTTACAACTCACAAGAGGCCCCTCATGCTCCTTCACAGTCCTCCTGCCACTAGCTTCTCTGGTGGCCCTGGACTGATTCTTCCCCTCCTCTGCTGGAGACCCTGCTTCAGGCCACTCTGGTCACCTCCGACTGGTGGTGCCCTTACGCCCACCACCCAGCAGGCGTGTGCGGCTGGGGTGGGCAACCCAGATTCCACCAGCAACAGGAATGACACGTTCTTGGCAACTCTGATCAAATACCCCTAGAAACATTATGTTTCATGGTTAGGGTCTTTAACAATCTCGTTATATTACCCGATGTCAGCTAACCTATGGGTCTGATCACCCTTCCTAGCTGGTCTGGGAGCCTAACTTCCATGTATAAGCTGGTTTATAATAGAAAATACATTCCAGGTTACAAATAATCAACTGACAGAGTTTTGCAATATGATCAGCTTATAAACTGGGGCCTGCCTCTGCTTAACAAGACTAAATTTCTTTCCTGTACACACTTTAGTATCCCCACCTCCAATACGTAATGGTAAGGAAATGAGGGAGTTACAGTATTCTGTATGGCAACAACCAGAGAACAGTTCCAAATCAAAAGAATGAAACTGGCACTGTTCACTAGTGTTGAGATCTAGCTACCAAAGGGAAACGTGCTGCTCCCAATGGCTAAGGTATAATATTCTTTAGTCTACAAATTTAGCAGAAAAACTTCTATAATACTTGACTGTGTTGTTTAAATTCTACCTAACATCTGTGATACATGTACTTTTGGCTACCAGTTCGCTATTCTGAACAAGAAGGTTAAGAGCAGTATACTTTACGGCAAATCCCACACAAAGGATGGAATTAATCAGTGGTGTTTGACAAGCTACAGTAGGGTCTATTATATTCAGTCAACAACAAACTTAGATAAACATACAGAGAATATTTTAAAAATCTGTGGTATCAGACATCTACAACAACGTGCCTCCTCGAAATAAATATATTTTAAATACTAATCATTCCTTGTACTGATACATAAAATCCAGAGGTCCAAAAATATCGCTACACATCCTTCTTCCCCCAAGAGTTAATGATACATTTCTAAATTGACTTTGGGAGTGTAAAATGAATTGCTGTAAATTAATAAGGAAGATAGTAACACAATATAATTGTAAACTAAATAGTTTTTGTTGTTGTTGTTTTTTAAATGGAGAGCCATCCCACTCTCTGGTATTGCATTACTTGGTGCTCTAGACAAGCCTCCAAGGGCCAATTAGTTTCTCTCCCTGCTCATCTAATATGAAAGACACTGCTGAAAAGGAGTGTCTTCTGTATTACTGGGTTAGGTATTCGTATCTAAATACCTGAACTACGACCTAATGTGAATCTAATTCTGGAATGTTACATTAAAAGCTATGATGACCCTATCAAGAAATGCAGGAGGAAATAATCTTTCCTCCTCCCCCAAGAGGAGAGAGACAAGGTGCTCCGATGTCTGCCTTTTCTATGGGACAGTGGTCTGTAAGGGGAGGGGACAGGTCCATGGTGCTCCAAGGGAGTGCAGAGGCCTCTGGGGATTTGAGTAGGGGAGGAACAGAATCCAGAGCTCAGTGCCTGGAAACTCTGCCAAGAGTCTGCGGTTAGATTCTGCTTATCGCAGGATAAGAAATCTGTTGCTCGGTGAACTTCTGGGTTTGACAAATTCAGCGAGACTATAGATTAAAACACAAGGCCTGTTTTAAGAGATCAGCTCATAGAGCACACACATTTACTGTGTGACATAGACAATCCAGCCACAGGTGATGGGCCAGCTTAGAGGTAATGCAGTTCTGGGGTTCTGTTCCCCATTGCTTTCCAAGCTACCTTGTCCCAAACTCTCTCCCTTCTCAGTCTGTGTAGCTTCCTTCTTTCCCCTTTAGGAGAGGGGCTCGGGTAGGAGTGCAAGGCAGCTCTATCCCGTGTGGGGTGCATGGGGCAGGCAGGCAAGGCCCAGCCCTAGGCTAGGAAGGAGAGGGAATGGCACGGACACTGAGGTCCTCAGCTGGGGGAAGGAAGGTACTCAGTGATGTTGTCACAAGTTCTCCTCAAAGACTATCTCTGAGGTTCTCTTTTTCTTTTTCTAACACTCTGGATGGATTATTAATGGAGAAGAAACAGGAATGAGGCTTATTTAAAATACAAAAATCTTGTATTTGCAGGAACCTAAATTTATAGATATAAAACAAGTATTTTAAAGCCCCTCCCCCCTCCCAAGTACCCAATATAAAACAGGAATTACTTAGATCATCCTTGGTTAGATACCTTGTTCTCTGTGCAAGAAGCTGGCGGACATGAAGAAAAGCTGCTGGAGGCGTAATTTAAGAAATGCTTCCCCTTCAACAACAGAGTGTAGGGCTAAAGGCTATCTGCATCAGAGGAATATTTTCCTAGGCGTTTAGGATAATCTTTTTGCAGCATTCTTGCTCCTCAATTTATTATAAAGGTGTCGTGGGACTCCCCCAGTAGAAATGGGCTCAGGTCAGAGTAACTTTGACACAAGTTGCCAAGAGGGAAACAAAACTTCATTTGCTAGATTACCCAAATGTGCAGTTTAATATATTTACCAAGGTAAGAATCGTTTCCACCCCTTCCCCGCTGAGAACACGTCACCAGAGAACATCTCTACATGGAGTGGACGTGGTACCAGGGAGGCCACTGGTCTGCCGGAGCTCAGCTGCCAGGTGATGCGAGCCACCTCAAACACTCGTGCTCGGACCCAGCAACAGCACACACCCTGTGACTCTCATACGATGATCCCTGTGTGCTATGTTAACCAAAATAGGCAAATTATTTATGAAACCATTTTTGTCTCTGTAAAGCAAAATAAATATATACAATTCAAGATTTTTTTTTTTTCTTCTAAAAAGGTACAGATAGTGTGAGCTGAACATCTGTAGGAAAATTATTTCAGAATCTGGATGTATAATAAACAAACATGACTGATGATCATGTTTTCAAAGTTCTAAGATACCTTGACATCACACAAAAATTGAGTTAAGAGAGTGAAAAAATAACTGATTGTGGAAAGTACTAGGAAATATGCTTGCATGAAATTTGGAGGAAAAAAAAAATCCATGATCCTTAAATTGATCCCAAATTTTGGAGGGACATGAACCATTATAGAAACAGGTCTCTGGTTTGCTACCAAAATGTGATTCCTTTTTAAGTATCTTGTAAATTTGCTTCTGTAAACTTGCAAAAGAAGTGATGAGGGTTGCTGATGGATGGTGACTTGACCGAGCAGCAGGTGGTAGTGTTTCCTTTTCTCAGTAGGTCTCAGTGGCCTTCGTCATTCCCCGGTGAGCAGGCCCAGTCGTAGATGACCAAGGGAATGCTGACCAGGGAGAACAATACCCCCAGGCCCAAGAAAAGGGCAGCCTGGAGCAACAGAAAGGCATGGGTTATTTTCGGTGAGACAGACATTTCCCACACGCACCTGGGAAATAGACATCAATGCCTTCCCTCTCCTCTGTGTACCCGTGTGTTTGGAGTTTGCTGCAACCATTGCTGAACTGAGACTGTTTCTGAGACTGTGTGTGAATCTGATTCTCCAAGGGTGGGAAATACGAGCAAACTATAGAGAGTTGTGCTCTACATTCTGTTTTTTGACTTATGTCCTACAGCTGACTGGGTATCCTTACAGCTTCTTTCAAACTAAGATTACAACCTAAAAAAATAGCTTTGGAAAACATACGGGTCTCTTCCTCACTCTTGACCAACCAATCTAGGTTATCGCTGGCAGGCAAGCATTTCTGTTTGAAAAGTGGAAAAAGATATGAAAGCAAAGTACATCTGATCAAGTGACAGAAAATGGATGTCAAAAACTAAGTGACTTCAGTAATAACTATGTACGGTGCCAAGTGGGTACTTGAAATATCGGGGGCACCACTTTGTAAAGTATATGACTGTCTAACCACTATGCTATAGACCTGAAACTAAGGCAAAATAATACTGAATGTAAAAAAAAGAAAACATCTAAGTTACTTTAAGGGTTGATGAAGGCCACGGGTGGGCAGATCACTAAATCCAGAACCTGGAGAGCAAAGACTATAAATTGTTTGGCCTTAGACTAGGCAGAGAGAGCTCTGCAGGGAAAAGGGTGAAGCATCACGGGAGCCAGGGGAGCTGCACCGCAGCCTGCGGGGTAGAGCGAAGGGAAGGAGAGGAGGCAAATGGTGGGGCTCAGAGGGATGCGCGTGGGCTGCGCATCGTGGGTCCGGTCTAACTCCCAGTGGGTCCTCGGACGGATAGGAGCCCTGGTCTCATACGATTCAGTAGTTCCTACTACCAGTGTTATTTGGGAGCTGGGTTGGGGAAGCCCAGAGAATTCACGGGCAACAGGGTCTCTATCATTTTTGGATCTTACTATATTTCACTCCTATGCCAAGGTGACTGCTCCTTCCTCTCTGTCCTTGTGAAGCAACTACTGGGAAGGTTTAGGAGGACTTGGGATTTATGGCTTCAGTGGTAATCCTGTTGGGGAAACAGATGCTCTCCCAGAATCAATGCACAAGGATGCTCCCTCCTGCCTCCGTCTCCTATCCGGGTCTGTTGACTCGGGTACTATGTGCGATTGGAGTCTTACACTATCTGGGAGGGCAGCTGAGAAGCCTTCTCCGAGGCCAAACAAAATGGTGCTCCGGAAGGTACTCATGCAGCGGCCACTTCAGCCCTGCTTCCCTCACTGTCTCCAAGTGCACCACCTTGAAGATGCCCTTGAACTTCACCAGACCTGGAAACAAGAATCCCAATATAGAAAGGTAGTTTCTGAATCCAGGTCTGTTTCTCCAAAGCAATTCTGTCAAATCATAAAAAGACTCTTTAAGCTAAGTCAGCCATTTAAATTAAGCATCATATGTCCCCTGAGCTAAAGATAAGGCATCACCTTACAGAGACAGGACGATAAACATCCTGTCTCCCAGCTGGCCCTGCCCTGGCTCAGAGCAAAAGCGAAGGCACAAGAGTAATCCCTGAAAAGATATTGTGGGAAATAAGATTCTAATGAGATATTTTAAATCTCCCAAAGTGGAAAACTACAGGACCGCTGCCTCCCTTCGAGGCTGCTAACTGTAGCATTAGAAGATAGAGATGGACTATTTATTTGGTAAATTTAAACAAAACAACTAATCAGAAAAATGAGGGTGGCCAGCAGAAGACATACCCAAATTCTTTGAGTTCCTTTATCTCCATCCTGGTTCGTGAGTTTTAAATAAAGAGATGAAGGAAGAATGAAAATAAGCATATTAGCAGATGTAACTCCTGTAAAATAAGAAGAGAAAGTTCAAGGTTGTTACTGTGGAAGTTCAGCTTCCTAACTAGCTGCTGCAGAATAAGTGTAAAATCATAAAGCCATACCTACGACTCCAAAAATATCCTTCATGGAGGGTATGAAGATCACCAACAAGTTAACAATGACCAAGAGTATTATGGTAACAAAGATGTGACGACATAGATTAAACTTTGTTTTCTTAGCCAGTTCAAATAAAGATGAACGAACCTGTGGGGAAAGAAAAGGAAGGTTCTGTAAGGGCTTGTGGCATGCCAACCTTCACCGTTCTTGGCAGAAAGTGAGGTATCGTGTCCAGGAGTTTGTGAAATGTTCTGTAATTTATAGTTAGTGTAACTGTTTGGGAGGCAGGGGGCTTGATTTAAGATGGAAAAGTTTTTATTTATGACTAGACTGTTTTCCTTTAGGAGGGATAATTTCTGTTTTTGTTTTATCTATGGATGTGGATTCTCCCCTGGTCCTTCTACATTCTCTCACTGTGCATGGTCGAGATTCGAACATTCTACCTGCATTTCTCTATAAAAACGAGGGACAGATTAATGAGAACTGAGATTCCTTCCACCAGAGTCTATCCTATCTCACTGATGCCACTTTCTTCCTAAAGAGTCTTCACGGATTCTTGGGATCTTTCCCCGGTGCAGTTTCAATGACACAGGAAAGCTACCTGCACCAGGCTCTATCTAGACCGGGCTCCTGAGACAGAAGGAAAGGCGAGACCTCAGCATTTCTCCGATTACACTGAGGCTTTACTCACCGTGAAAAATAACACTGGCACCGTGAGGATGACAGCAACGATGACAGCCAGCCGTACCGTCAGGACTAGAATGTCGTCTTTGCTCTGGTACTTGTGAAGGAGGTCTGAACTCACGTTTTCTAAAATGAGGAGAAAGAGGGTATCGAAAAGAAACAGAGCACATCACTGAATGACAGTTTTCCCGAACAACAAAGAATGTGACAACTAAAGGGCAAGGAAAGCAATGATGTGGGTTGTCAAAACAATTCATAGAGTTGAGAAGGAAAATCCCTGTTGTGACACATGGTCCACCTGTCCATCATAACTTTAACTAAAAGGAACTTATAGTAACCCCAAGAAGAGGCTACAAAGAGTGGCTATGCTTAATTTATACTAAATTGATTCCAGGAGTAAGTTGGGATTAAAAATAACATAGGTTGAAGCACAGAGCTATTCTTTTTTAAAAAAAAATGTTTTTATTGATTTCAGAGAGAGAGAGGGAGAGGGAGAGAGAGATAGAAACATCTACGGTGAGAGAGAGTCGTTGATTGGCTGCCTCCTGCACGCCCCCAACTGGGGACTGAGCCCACAACCCGGGCATGTGTCCTGACCAGGAATGGAACCATGACCTCCTGGTTCATAGGCTGACACTCAACCACTGAGCCATGCCAGCCGGGCACAGAGCTATTCTTAATTTAGATTTTCTTCTACTTGGTGCCACTCATCAAACAACACCAAGTAGCCAGCCTTGCTGAGTGGATGCGTGGGCGATTGCAGGCCACTCGGGGCCTCTTTCAAACTCTCCTCTTACTGCTCAACTTCCAGTGACCAAGCAGCAGGGGTGCCAAGGGAACTTATCCACCATCAAGAAATAATTCTTCTCTTCCATGCATGTTTTTCTTATATATATAAAAAGAGCATTTTGCTTATATACCATTTTGAACTTTTTCTCAACTCTGAACTTCAGAAAGTGTTATTTCAAAGACAACCAAAGCTAGAATGGCAGTCGTCAAGAACATGAGAATGTTCACTCCTTTGGCAAGAGATCATTCCCTTTCCCCATGTCTCCTTTCCAAGGGCTTCTCACAGGATCTTAGATTTCACTCCCTTTAACTTTCTATGTCATTCTTTCAAATCTTTGCAAGGCTCCAGCTTCTGGTGAAAAATTAGGCATTTTATTTTTAATTAACGGGAAGTGTCATGAGTGTGGCACTCTGCTCTTTCTCACTTTCAACATCTGTCTCTGTCTCTATTTTCTATTCATGGAATCTGACCCAATTTGAAACAGCAATTAGGAAATTCTCTGATAGACTTTTCACTTTCCTCAGTACAGGTATTATGCTTATAAAATGCTCTTTCTTTTAAGGACAGCATTAGGAGAAAAAATTGCAGCATATTGTTTCAGTAATTATCCTGTTGTGCAGTCTGCATGACTATGGAAAGGAGCCATTGCCATTTGCTGTAAGTAGAAGAAAAGACCAGCAAAATCAATGTATAGAAAAAGTTATTTTGATAATCGATTTTTACTAATTCATTTACAATGACCTACATTTATGTACTGATAGAAATTACTCACCATAGAATGTAAAGTAGCCAAAAATGGCAGTCAAGAAGTACATAACAAACATGGCAAAAAAGGAGATATTTGAAACCATCTGCATTCTTTTCTGTGATCGACTAAAACAAAGACAAAAAGAATTTGAAAAATTAAAAACCATGTTACCCAATTTAAACACCAGCGTTAACAAGGAAGTGTTAATACTAACTTGACTTTCTATCAGGATGGGGCAGGTGTGACCGGCTGAAATCACCCCAGGCAATTATGCCTGTTTAGAATAACTTCTTTTATACCCAACGGGTATTGAGAGAGAGATCCATGGAACTAACAATTCCTTGAGAGCTCTTACCCATTCTTTTGAAAGAACATCGAGTTCTCATCTGAAGGGCAGAGAGTATTTTTAAATGTTTTTGTTTGATATTATCTCCACAGTCAGCATCCACCGGGAAAAAAGGCAGAAAATTCAAAAGCTATTCTCCCACCCCCAGAGACTAGGGGCGGAGCTGGAACTTGACCTCAGGTGTTCTGTTGCTAAAGCTGTTATTTAGGTTCCAGTTTTCCCACTGAGCAGCCCCAGAGATGCAGCTGGAAGTCTGGATGTCTCCATAGCAATACCCAAAAGATCACAGAAGAGGGATGATGAAGGGTTCTGTCTCTTCGGTAAAGTTTACTCTGGGAGTCTGAATGAACCTTTAAGTTTCTTTAACTGCCCAAGTAATTAATCTATAAGACTTGTACTCAATAACAGACTACCAATAACCATATTTGGTTGTGTCATAACAAGAAGTACGGAATAGAAGAAAAACTGAGAAGTACACATGGGAAAACTACAAACTAATAGCTAGACTATAAAATTTAAAAGATGCCAAAGACATTTAAATATCCTAAATATAGGATCATAAAGTTAACATTGATATACCCACAGATAGGTAGGTGTAAATATTTCAAAATTTACCTATACTGATTAAATATGAAAGAGGAAGAATTATGAGTGAATTCAATGCTAAATGACATCCACTTTATTTTTGCTTCAAAATGGTAATAGCTACCATATTGCATGTCTTTTCTGAGCTTAAGACTATGCCACGATGACTTTTTATATAGAAAGTCTGATAATGGTACGCTAAAAAGAGAGCCAATGAGGAAATTTATAGGTAGGCCTTTAGTTTTCTCTAGAATAGCAATCAAAACGAATCCATAGAATCATCTTAGTCATTTAAAATGAACAATAGTATTCTTTTGTCTAATTTGTGGTCTTAACATTAATTTTTCTCTGCCTGATTTACCAGCCTTTTCCATCTAAACCAACAGGCAAATCAGATCTGGCTTATTTAGCAGCTCATAGATGAATCTGAAGATCACTATATTCTACCTGCCAAGTAGGTATAAGAATCATAAAGCAACACAAACGCTCAAACTCTCCTAAGTAATACAGTGTTTGAAAAACCAGATTAACAAAAAAGCCCACATAGTGTGTACTTCATATATTTATATCCAAAATATACTGCAGGTTTCTGGTTTTTCTTTTTTTCTTAAAATACAGTACTTGCTCAAGAATGGCAGATAGTAAATGTTGAGCTGGGTGACGAGTCCACTGGGGTTCATTACATGTGTCTGTTTATTTTAATACAGTGCTTGCCTATTAGTGAGTGGTAATAAAGTGATCAAGATAAAAGAAACTCTTACTCTTTAAGCTCACTGTAAATTGGCAGGACTGATGGATGGCAGACAAATGCAAATGCAATGGTTGGTAGAGCATACACCGTCTATTTGAAAGAAAAAAAATAAACATTAAAAAGGGTATTTTTACCATAAAATTATACATCTCCAGTATTTCTGAGCTTTTCATCTGACAGCTCTTCAGAATCCCTGGATTATTTGGTTATTAGGAGGGCTTTGTTAGCTAAAATAGGAGCAGCGTTCCTAGGAGAGCTTATCTAGCTAGACGTTAGGCACTTGCCACAGACGGGTTTGAGATTCAGCTTACCTACAGTGTATTTTACATACTCCAGACACAGCATAACCCACATTTATATAGCGCTAACCAGTTACATAACACTTTTCCTACCTTATCTCATGGAATCCCTGCAATAACCCTGAGCAGTAGACAGACCACTGCTGTTCTCCTGACTCCCTCCAGCAGCCTGGGAGACATGCCCAGGACTTCCACCTCTATTTTATTGCTCTTTGCTATATATGGGGTGCATCTAAGCAAACTTAAAAGATGGCATCTAAAATGAAAATTAGTTCCACATTCACTACTTTGGCTGCCTCCTTAGAGTTAAAAGAAAGAAAGGGGGGTTGGGGAGGGAGAGAGGGAGGGAGAGAGAGAGAGAGAGAGATTGATTTAGTTTTCATAGATATGACTTTTTAAAACTTTCAAACTCAACATAACTTCTTATGCAAAAAGAAGCTGGCAGAGAAGGAAGGAAAAGTAGCATTTCTCATGCTCTAATTCTGCCCAAGTACTGTACCAGGTACATTTTCAAAAAAACACACACCAACCCCCCCTGTAAGATATAGAATAGAATACTCGTTTTTACATGTGGGGTGGGGTAACTTGCTTGCGAATTCAAGTCCAAGCCTAATTGGTTCCACAGTCCACTGTCTACTATACTATTAACTGAATCTCAACAGTGTAACAGTTTCGTAAGCGCCCATTTGTGTTGGCATCTGTATTTCGACTGTGTAGCTGGGAAAGTCTGAGGCATTCCTTTTTGTCACCACCAGATAGGAAGCAGTGGGCTAAGGATGTTATTAATCTATTTTTAAAGATCTATAGGAGAGGAAAGAGCTGAGACAATTATCGAGAGAGAGATTTTCAGAGAATGCTTAAGGTTGTCCTACATGTAAACGGGGTTCAGCGGGAGCATGAAATATAATATTTGTATATCTCTCAAAGGTGTCTAAATGGACTGTGGAATTTGGAAGCGGGGGTACTGCGTCCTTTTGAGACTGAACACATTTAAAGCAGTTTAATTACTACAAGATTAAGAAATATAAAGCCCTTAATAAAAATGCTCGTTTTTATATTTGAAGGATAAGGAAACTTACCTTTGAATTGAAGGTAACATATTTTGGCGTACACATGCCAGTATTTGTTGAATTATCACTTATTATTGTTGAATTTATTCCCTGCTCTTTAACAATGCAGGGAATTTGAAATTTCTTGTAGATAACCTGGTATTAAAAAATATAGGAGAAACAATATAGACTTTATCAAATAAAGCCAAGTAAGGAATAACTGTTACATGGCATTGTACTATGGCAAAACCAAACCAACCATTCCAACCAGCACTTACCACTATTAGGAAAAAAACCATACAGCTCAAGGAAAATCCACTAGTATAGCCAAGATACCCTAAAAAAAGTTTTAAAAGTTATTATTAAAAATTATTATCTCATCCATCACCTTATTTCTTTCAATGCATTTTTTAAAAATGTTTTTATTGATTTTAGAGAGAGAGGGGAAGGGAAAGGAAAAGAGAGAGAGAGATGGGGATGGGAGGGGAAACATCAATTGGTTGCCTCCCATATGCACCCTGACCAGGGAACAAACCCATAGCCTGGCCACGTGTCCTTACTGGGAATCGAACCTCGACCTACTGGTGCATGGGATGACACTCAACCGACTGAGCCAGGGCAATGCATTTTTTCAAGCATAATTTGGGGTTCCAATAGTATACATACATGCCAACGTGAATGCAAGATTTATTATCCGATAGTGCTACTTTACTTGGCAAAAGTGTGACTTTAAATAAAAACATTATGTGTTTTGATTTCAGTTCTCCCTGACACACTAGAGAACACAGGTGTCCAGAGTCCAGGGAAAAAGAGCCTCCCAAATTTAGTCACAGTTTCTGCTGGTGTACTGTGATGGATACGTATGGCCAAATCCATTACCCTTTATTATGCACTTACTGTGTGCATAATGGCCGTCAGACACAATACTTCTCTTCCCAAATAAGAGGCAGGCACAGAGGAGATGAAGTGATTTCCAGGGATAAACTGAGCATCTGGGGATCTTTACCTTGCTCCCCTTAGAATGCCTGACAGATCTCCAACCCCCGTAACCTCCAGAAAGGCAGAGTTAAGTGGCCTCTGGGGGGCCGCACTATTCTCATCCCTGGGGCAGAAGAGCCCTTCTCTACTTAAACTGAAGAGTTATCTGTATATACACAGAAAAGCCTAAACACAGACCCAGAAACAGAACATTAAGTAGTTGTTGTTTTTTTAAAAGTCCACTTATAGATCTTATAGAACAACTACAGAGGCTTGATATTTTTCATATAAAACAGAAAACTATGGTTAGTAATTTTGGGAAGAACTTTAAGTGTCTGCCTGGAATTAGCCAAGAATTAAAGAAAATGCATTTTAGAAGTTTTGGACTAGGCGGCAGTGTGGCCACCATTAGTTGATGTATGAAATTCCCATAGCATCAGGCACACTTGTCTCTGATTAGAAGCACACACAAAGATGGTCAAAACCAAATGGATGTGAGCTAGTGGTTGCTTACCACTTTTGACACTTCACTTCTCTCTCTCCCTTTAGTGAGGCAAATAACTGAGATTGGTTAGACTTTGATCATTTAAGAGTAATTCACTATACTTTTGGGTATAAATATAAGCAACTTTCTGTCTTGATATTAGACTTAAAAACCTAATTGTCTAAATAATCAAGGTATTTAAGACCTTGCACAAGGAGAATTCCACTTTTTGGACTTTCCTCAGAATAGCCTGTAAGTTGTGCTGTTGGGAATAAACGCTATCTGTCCCCTTTCCAAGACCTCCACAGCTTAGGAGAATGATTACTTAGGAAGTTGCTCATTAGCCAGTGTTGTTGTTGTTTTTAACGATTTTTAAATTGATTTTGAGAGAGCGAGGAAGGGGGAAGGAGAGAAAGAGAAGCATTGATGTGAGAGCGAAACATCAACAGGCTGCCTCCTGCACGCCCCCTACTGGGGATCCAGCCACGTGCCCTGACCGGGAATGGAACCAACAACCTTTTGGTGCGTGGACCGATGCCCAGCCAACTGAACCACAGCAGCCAGGGCCTGACCAGTGTTTTTACCCCATATTAAAGTTGAGACTAAGTAATACTTGTAATTTATCATTTACTTAATCTTTACCGTACAAGTGAAAGCAGGGGCAACATTTCGTTTTATTAGGTTACTGATTCATATGGGCACTATAGAGACTATGATAAAAGCAAGATCTTTCCTTACCTAAATTCTTCAAGAGACATAGAGGGAGGATTATGCCAAAGGTAACTATCACCACCAGAACACGGCCGTCCACATACCAGGCTCTGAAAGGCATTTCAGGGGTTAGGTCATATTTCCTTAGAAAGTGCCCCCCC